ACTTTAAGGCCCTAATGTATGCCTAATGACCAAGGTAAATAAATCCATGTTCTATTTGAGCCAACTTCACAAACAGTTGGACCAGCTAGTCATTCGCCTTTCTGCATAAACCCATATGATACAGATTGTTTAGAATATAGAACGATACTTTGTCACAAACGGAGTAAATACAATCATATGAGGTGACCTTAAATATCTGTAAAGAATGATTGAAAAGGCAGAACAAAAGCAAATAATCTGTTCTATATCATTTCAATAATCTTACTATACATTATATTGTAATCTTTATCTCACCGGTTTGAGGTATTTTCATGAATATACAAAATTAAAAAAGGAACCACAATTATTTGGCTTCAAATTCATTCAAAATTGGTCTGTGAAAAAATGGAAAAATAATCTTTCATATCGGCTGCTTACCGAATATATGTGTCAGGTACCAGTCTTTTGCATTTAAGCATTTTTTTCAAGCCGTGTATAGATCATGTATCAGTGTTCAACATAATGAAATGCCGACCAATGAAATCAATCAAATAATCAAACATTGCCCTTCTTAATCGAGTAGGCTATCTAATGCTGTCACTTTTTTTTAAGTTGATAACTAATTCTTTAAATAGTTTGGAATGAGGTACTCATGTGTGATCTTAATGTACAAGCCTCGCCTTATTTTGATCACGTGACATGGGTAAAATTATAAGCAAGAGTACACGATGTAAATAATGTGCACCCTGGCTCCCTACCGGACACTTCCTTTGGGGCTCTTAATTGTTAAAATTTAAATTAACACACACTAAAATATACATAATGAACTCGTTTACCCTGTCTCTTTTAAACAAAATATTTCAACAATTATCATTTATTGTATAATCAAATGTTATATTGTACACTATGCATGGAAACTTTTGTCAAAATCAACAATATTCTTTTATTCAACATTAAATGTTCAGTTTGACTTAACTTAATTAACTACCAAACAATATGAGAAATTTAAATGCCATACCGCTAAGACTCATAGCTTGTGTCTTTGTTTATATAAGTGATAATATTATCATTGTTAAAGAATTTTCAAGTAACACATCATTTTATTTGATTAAGTTGAATGATAGGCATGAATTTTTGTTAAGAAATACAGATCATGTACTTTTAAAATGTGTAAGGTACATAACGGTCATAAATGTGTCCTTGAATTTATTCTACGAAAAACACAAACATACATACATACATACGCACGCACGCACGCACGCACGCACGCACATACATACATACATACATACATACATACATACATACATACATACATACATACATACATACATACATACATACATACATACATACATATTATATAATTCATGATAGTTTCAAACTGACATATTTATTGTCGATGAGGCACTCCAATTCAACTTGATACTTTCATCATTTAAAAATAAGATTGAAATATATTTTTATATATATATTATTTTTAATATTACAAGTGTGAATCTCAAAAACAGATACTCAAGACTGCAAAGTTTGAACGAAGTCAGTGTGGTTGTAAAATTAACCATATATAAATGTCCTCTAAGACATTCAGCTTTCCCATTGTAGTTTTTCTTTTTTCGAATTTGTTCATTTTTAAATAAAGAATGAGAAAAAAGAAGAAATATCTTATAGTATTCTTTAATGAATTTTACCCATTTTTCCCGTTTGTTCGATAGTAACAACTTATGGCCGAATGTCTCCGAATGTTTCCTCTCTATTCATATATACCGTTGGGAAACCACAATGAATATAACTACGTATGCTTAAAAAATACATTCATTATAGCAAAAGTAACTCATTAGTAATTTTAGCCTCTAACAAAATACTTTCAATCATTGCCCAACCATAAATGATTCCGTGCTTTTAGCCAAAACAGGTTTCTTAGGTTATCTGGGTAGCTTCTTCATTTCTAAACATAAAATAATTCTAAGTCCTTTGAATTCATTCTACTGTGGTGATATTAAAAGTAAACAGTATTACGAAATCGCCATAAGACAGTGTCGGTGTGACTTATTACCAGACAATTGAAACAATTTAAAACAGATGCGTGTTTTCTATATAAAGACAGGAAGAAAAATGAGTAATACGATAATTATAAGTTTTTCTATTAAAAATATATTTAATCAAACAAAACAAAGCATCAGGAAATGAGCGTGAGCTGTTATCCTGTTGCAATGATTCAAGTAATGTACATTTATACATTTTTATACAAGTATACATTTTATTTAAAAAATAAATAACGACTGTGTGCATATGATCTTCAAAGTTAGCTGTAGACTATAATGTAAATGGATTTGATCTACATATTGATTTGCTTCCTTGTATGGTTTGTTCAAGGTAAGTTTAAAATGATTTGTTGTTCTTTTAATTGAATTATTCGAATGTCTTTAAAGATAATTTGAAATATTGTTTCAGATTTTGAACATGAATTTATGATGATCAAGGTAATGTGAAACTTGTTTACGTGTCCTGTCCTTTAAAATGTATCAATATTGCCTGTTTACTTTTTTGGTATTAAATTATATTTGGAGACATTCCTGGTGGGACTTTTTTGTAAGATTTTATGTTTAAGACAATATTGTCATGATTAATTTTATGATAGGGGCGATCATACTGTCTTCATGTTAATTCTGCCTTGTTATACTTGCTTTTAGTAAATGTTATATTTCTTACTTTAATAACACCAATTTAACAATAAACCCTCTCATATCCTATTTAAACTTAAACATTAAACAAAGGTCAATATTGTTATGGTTTGAGGCGAACTTGATAAAAATGTAAATGACGTACCAAAAGTATAAATTTCCAAGTATTCAATTGTGTACGTAACTGCTAGATATAAAGATGTGACATTATTTCCAAGAGTATGTTTAATTGTATGATTAAAAAATTATTGCATTATTAAAACAGTAGCGAGAGAAATTGACACAAAACGTCATAAGTATGCAATCAGTTGTCAGAATGATACATTAAATATTCGTTGCAAATTGTCTTCTTCATGCCTTTCTATTGCGTTATGTTAAAAAGGAGCTTTATTGACAGAAATCGTCGTTTTAACGTTATACTTCTACGTTATTGCCTGTGTTACTTTTTAGTATTTACTTATAATGGAAGATATTTTTAGCTAATTGTTTTTGTAAGATTTTATTGTTTCAGACAATCATACATCGGTCACGTTAAATTTGCATGTAAAAACTGGATTTAAATAAACTTCAAGGACATACATTAGAACGGAAACGCTTTACTGACACAAATGAAGTGCCTTTTTGACTTTTGTACCTTTTGAAACTATCTTGAGAAAAACAAATTGAATACTATGTAACAAAAATAGAAACGTCCAAATATTTAATAGTGTATCTGCATCAACAAATTACGCATTAAATGCTGTGATCTAATGCGTATGCCATGAAATAAAAGTATATTTAGTACACGAGCTCAAGAAAGTTTCAGTAAGCGAATCCCTGTTAAGCTTTCGAACATTAAATTTTATATTATATGACAACGAATGCTAGATATTTTTATCACATTCATAAACACACCGGATTTAATTAAACTGCCTTTAATGCATGCTTTTCTTAATGACACGGATACAAAACATAGTTACCAAGGGACGCCATATGTCTGTGTGTGTTTTTGAAATATAATTTTACGAGGGCTGTTCGAAAAGAATTGTCCTCTATCTCGTGATCAACGTAGGGCACGATAAGAAATTTGAGTCTGGTGTAGAGTGCATCAAAAATGCACCAAAATCAGGTAGGCCAAAATCTGTACCTCGTAACGAAATCGTTTCCAAAATAAAGGATATCATTGAAGGAGATGCCAGATTTACACTTCGTGATATTGCACGTAAGGTAGGCATATCACTATCAACGGTTCACTTTATTTTGAAGAAGCATTTGAAAGTCAGAAAGATTTCTGCTAGATTGGTACCACATCTGTTGACCGATGAGCAAAGAGGCAACGGGTTAAGGTGGCCAAAAAGCTGCTTCAAATGTTTCCAAAATATGACAAAAACAGTTTGCCAATGTCGTCACAGGTGATGAAACTTGGGTCCATTATTTTAAGCCCGTCAGAAAAGTTAGCAACAAAAGCTGGGTAACTGAACACAACAAACGGCCAATAATTGCCAACCGGTCTTTTAGTGCAAAGAAGGTTTTGTATGCAATTTTCTTCCTTCTCTGGTGAAGGAGTCGCAATAAAAGTGCCGGTGAAAAAGGGCAAAAGTATCACTGAGAAGTACTACAAAGACGTTGTACTAAAGAAACTGAATAAGTATTATAAGAAACGACGCCTAGTCACTGGTTTTAAGCATATGCGTGTTCTACAGGACAATGCCCCCGCTCATACCTCCGCAATAGTTTTGGCGTTTTAAAAAAAAGAAAAAGTAACTGTTTTGCCTCACCCCCCGTATTCTCCAGACCTTGCCCAATGTGATTTCTTTTTGTTTCCGAAATTTAAATCTTTCCTTGCTGGGCGGAAATACAAGTCCCGACAGGCACTTTGACCTGCCATTCATCAGTACCTTATTACTATACCCACATTAGCGTACCGTGACGCCTTCAAGATGTGGATACATCGGCTGAAACTTTGCATTTCTAGCCACGGGGAGTACTTCGAGGGCATGAAATGAACACTTTTGAGCTAACTTGAAATTTGAAGTCTCCAGATAGAAATAAGCAATACATTTCGAACATCCCTCGTATATCAAACATTATTATCACGACTGGTTTTCTGTGCAATTTTATTGCTTCTTGTAACCCAAAGTATTAACATTAGCTTAAGTAGTCATTTTCTAATATGCTACAGACAAGTAAACATACATATATCAGGAATAAGAAGAAAAATATGGTTGGAAAAAACACGAATGTTCATTTGTTTAGAAATATTAATAAATAGTACTCATATAAACTAATGAATTTACAATGTATTAAAATGTTCAAACAAAAATAACTTATACACCGAGACTTATATATGTTTAAAAGTTCATTCAAGTTAAAGAATTGTAGGAGGTGATATAAACGTTGACAGCATTACACTGGAGAACACCATTCAGTCCAACAAGAAGTTCACATCACTAGGGAGTCAATCAACTTTAAAACGAAACAAATCTACACACTACGTTCCTGTCGACACACAGAACAGTATAGGTATGCTATCAGTTGTCAAAACGACACATAAAATATTCTCTCAATGTTTTCCATTGTGTTAATAAAACATGACAAAGTTGATTTTTCCTGTATCTTGAGTTGTTAAGCATTTTATTTTTAGAGGACATAAGCGTCTACTACGCGTGACTATTGCAGAAAAAAACGCAGTTTACAATGTTATTGAAATTCTTGTAAGATAGAAAATGTTATGAACATGACTTTTGAAATCGAATGTAAATATTTAAGACAACATAATTAAACACATTTTTAGTAAATAAATACTTTCATCCAGTTCGCTATAAAAGATAAAAAATTACGAAACTTTTAATTTTTCAGAATCATATAACCGACCTTTTTGCAATGCCACACATCAACCTAGTAAGTATAATAATCATGGATGTTTTCTAACATCCAAGATGCGGTTATTGATAATTACTTATAAAAATTAACAAGACTAGTATATAATCAAGTCTGTCGGTCAAACACATCAACAACAACATCATAACATACATATGTTAGCCTTGCAAACATTTTTAATTGCCTTGAATGGACAGAAAATCCAGATGTATAACAAAAAGGAGATCCTCAGACACCTGTTTAATATAGACCAATAATTATTATCAGCTGTAAGCAAACTTATTTTAGTTTATAGAAAATTAGACTTTACTCATTCTAATATTTTAACTAATATTCTAGGAAAATTGTCTGCCTTTTTGTGCATCTTAAAAATATGTACACATACATTAAATAAGGTGTCTCTCAAACGGCGAATACTTTCCGTTCTAAAAAATATCACACATTGAATGGAACATATAATACAGCCATTTAAGTTAGGAACCTAAAACTAAATATTCTGTTACATCTCAAGAAGATGTATAATGCTCAAGAATCATGACTCTCTTTTGAAAACCGTTGAAGTGTTTGCTATTCGAATTTTTTCATACTGAATATTTCCGGTGCATAACTCAAGAAAAATGGAGATATCAACTCCAAACTTCGATAATGGATTGTGAAGTGGAAGTGCAAATATGCATTGCACAAGAGCAATGATTCTCTTTTGCATTATTTCCTCTGTATTTTTTATTCATGAGATTTTAAGGGGGAATAATTTTAAAAAGGAAAAGCGGGTATTTACTTGAAACTGTATGTTTTGATAGGTTACAATTAGCATTTCCAAATACATAGGATAATTAAATGTCTGACTTGTTTTAATGATTTGGATAATTGAGCATAAAGATGCTTTCATCATACTTGAATCCCCCAAAAATGTATCTGTTATTTAAATATACTTAAAATGAATGACCCAATGACATTGAATAATGGCAAATAGTATATTACTGTCATTTTATTTTTAAAGGATTATCTTTTATGTGTCACTGTTCATTTTTGGCATTTATATTATAAAAATGCTCTGGGTACATAATACTAAGGAGTTCCAATCAAGTGAATTGTATTAATTGACAGGGTATATTAATTCAAAGAATTTGTTTAATTGAATATGGCTTTAAAACTAAATGAAGAAAGCAACATGAAAAAGCACATTTACCATACGGCCCTACATGTCATTGAAATATATTTATATGATAACTCATCATTGTAAATCTTTATTTTTTTACAAATATTTTTAATCAGAGCTATTTCTCTTACTTTTTTTTTTAAAAAGCCAGGTAACTGCTCTTTACATATATGCTAACTCGAGCCTACAAAAAAATACTGTAAGATAGTGAAACTAAAATTATGATATTTCTATTTCATTTTCAGTTGTTAAAGTATGTACTGATGACGAAGTGCTGAATAAAAGATCAATGTTTATTGATACTATGAGCGTTCCGGAATTTCAACAGAAATGTGAATGTGTTGTAACACCTTTAGAACGGCATAATACTTTCAAATTGCATTTAAAACTGGAACATCTATCTGGAAGATATAAAATGCAATTTGAAATAAATAATATCTCAATTGGAAAATTTTATGATAGTGAAAGTACATATGTTACAGGTGCAACGAAACTTTTATTTTCAACAACTGAAGATCACCGAACAGAGGGACTTTGCTTAGCTGTTTATTCGGGTGAGTTTTCCTGTGGAATGTTCGTGCCTTTTCATAAAAAGAATCGATATTGTTTCTATTTTCAGTTTTGCCAAATCATCATACTGAAAAAAGACAACTGTAATCACTCACTATTAAATTTGAAATACAATTCACATTTATTGTATAAAATGCTCCGTTATTCTAAAAAGATTTTGATACATTTAAGGAATAAAAAAGTTATGTAATACAGGCCGTGACCTTTAATATAGGATATGACTTTCCGGTTATCAAGAGAAGGTTTATATACCTTTTACATACAATCATGAACATCAGCATAATCACTATGACGCAAGCCCACGGGGCGAAGTTTTAAATACGTCCAGGGGATTGAAAAAAACGATGGAAATTAGCGCAATTCTTGCATTTAAGTATACGTCTGAATTAGTAATTCTGCGTTTCTATCTTTCTGTATAAAGAAACCAACCTGTTTTGTCATGCTCTTCATATGCTAGTGTAAAGTCATTTGTCAGTAATGTTTCGATTATGAAACTACCAGGCCGTTATAGCAGGTAGCTGCTTTTTAAATTACACATTGCACACTGAGTCACGCATATTAAAAACAGGTAACAACGGCGCATTCTCGGGTGATTTCATATTCTTCTTCTTTAATCGCGTGCACAGTCTTATGCAAAAATAATTAATTGTGGCACGAAATTCAATTTCTTTGCATGAAACATAATACAAAAATAATGTAAACATATAAAGATGAGGAAAGATAAATATATATATGACATGAAGGTGAACAACTAACAAGAGCTTAACAAACAGACAAAGAGAATAATTTCAATAAATTATTATCAAAATATGTTATCTTAAAAATTCGAATTTTATTCGCAGCAAAAATTGAATTTTGCATTGTTATATAATGTATTCTTTGATGATGAACACAAGGTATTTTTAAATAGTTTTAAGAAGGGCAAGTCACAATAATAATTTCTAAAAATTTACGTCTACGGGTTCTATATTTTGGACAAACTAGTAATAAGTGGTACATGTATTCGGTTTCGATTGATTGCCTGTTACATGATTTACAAAGGCGCTCATTTTGGGGTATGTTTGTGTATTTTCCCGTTTCTATGGCTTTTTATTGGTGGCCTGAGACTCTTAATATAGCTGGAGCAGTTTTTAAGAAGTTTCCTGTGATATTGTCTATATACCTTTCTCTTTTAAATTCATGTTTAAATATTGCATATATTGTTAATATGTTTTTAATTTGATTGAGTTGTTCTTGAATTCTTATAAAACTGGTTATTTATGCTTCTGTTGTCTAGATTTAAATTCTTGATTTCAAAAGTCGTGGTCTTTTTTATTAACACGGTCACAGAGATTGTTTGCTATTGTTTCAGAACGTTATTAAAAAGTACACATTTGATGATTTTATATGCATTTAGAATGAAACATAACACATTGTTTTAATGAATAAACTGAGTGAAATAACATATTGCCATTAAAATCGTAATCTTAACAAATTTAATACCATTAATTATTTTCTATCGTTTATGGATGTTGGACAAAACATTCAAGGAGTATGGTTTTAATTTTGTTATAGTACGTTGGTTTTCAGTAATAAGGTTCTGAATAGCAATATAATATCTAATGATTTGATATCCTTTTTTTTTATTCAAATGTCAAACATATTTTGTAATTTGATTATTAGAAATTAAGTCTTGTACAAATTAATAAAATCAATGAATTCACATAAAGATATTCGTTAAAAACATCACCCTTAATACTATATACTTTCCTGTAAAATTATTAATTGACTGCAGATGGCGCTTTTTTCAATATGTCTTGTAAGAGATCAACAAGAGGAACAACAAGACAGTCCAGCCCAGCATCGACAACAGGAACAACAAGACAGTCCAGCCCATCATCGACAACAGGAACAACAAGACAGCCCAGTCCAGCACCAACAAGAGGAACAACAAGACAGTTTAGTTCAGCGTCTATTTCACACGAGAGTGAAACAACAAAGATTACAACTTTAAAATATTATAATTCTTCAGTCCAAGCTTCAAAAGACAAAGCGACTGGAGTCAACGCTTTTATAAGTATGTTAAAGCATATATCCATGACATGTATTGTCAAGATAAGTCAACATGTAGTTATGTCCATTGTTACATGTACCAATAAATGTGTCAAAGTTAAAATTGAACTTTTCTGATACGTTCATATTTAATTATCCACTTTACCATGGTTTAAATTCTTCTGAAAATTATTAATTGCAAATGTTTAGAATATTAATATTTATAAGATGTATTAATTAAGAAAATAATAAAAGTTAGCTGTTTCGTTAAATTATATATTTGTTATAACTTATGTATAGTATACATAATTCTAAAATGGCCTGACTTGTTAACGTTCGTGACGCATTCTAACCGATATCTGGGAAGACGTAATCGTTTAGCTGATTTGAGCTTTTAAAAAAACTACAGACAAGCTATTTTGCTTAACAGACCGCTTTAACAGTTCCAAAATTAAATATACTTAAAATACCTATTTGTGGTATGATAATAAAGATCTTACTGGAAGCTATTTTGATAAATAAAATGCTAACTTGTCTATCTGGTAAGTGTTGCTTCTAAACATAAGTTTGTTCCAGGAATTATCAATAAATATATTTACATGTCTTACAAATGATATGGAATTTGAATTTGAATCTTGTGCAAAACACTTCTCATAAGTGTTAATAAAATAACTTTATTGTGCTTACACTTCCAGTTCTTACCGTGTCATTATTTAGTTTTTGAATTCTGAGCAAATCACTTATCCTAAGTGTGAATAAAATAACTTATTTTGCTTACACTTTAGCAAAAAAACCCGTATATTTAGTGTATATATAATTACTTTATTGCGCTTACACTTCAAGTTCTTACAGTGTCATTGTTTAGTATTTTAATTTTGTGCAAAACACTTATCCTGAGTGTTTAATAAAATTACCTTATTGTGCATATAAATCCAGTTCCTAAAGTGTCATTATTTAATATTTGAATCTTGTGCAAAAACCTATTCTAAGTGTGAATAAAATTACCGTATTGTGCTTACTCTTATAGTTCTTAAAGTGTCATTGTTAAGTATTTGAATTTTGTACAAAAGACTTATCCTGAGTGTAAATGAAATTATCTTATTGTGCATACAAATCCTGTTCCTAAAGTGTCATTATTATGCATTTGAATCTTGTGCAAACACTTATTCTAAGTGTGAATAAAATTACCTTATTGTGCTTACGCTTATAGTTCTTAAAGTGTCATTATTTAGTATTTGAATTTTGTGGAAAACACTTATCCTGAGTGTAAATAAAATTACGTTTTTGTGCTTACACTTCCAGTTCATTATTTAATATTTGAATCTTGTGCAAATCACTTATCCTAAGTGTGAATGAAATAACTTATTGTGCTTACACTTACAGTTCCTACAGTGTCAGCCGCTTGTGGACTTCTTTGTGGCATTGTTATTGCTGTTGTCTGCGTTATTGTCTACAAAAGGTAAATTTAACCTTAATTATTATGATACAAATTCTTTAAATGATTTAAATGGCAAAAAATGTTTTTAGTTTAAACATATTTTATTCATAATCATACACAGTACATAATATACAATCATTCAATATATACAATGATGAAATGGATTAGAACGAAAGATATAAAATCTTATATAGTTCTTCTCCGACGCTATTTTGAATTAACAACAAAGTGATGGCATCAATCTACTGAGACAATGTGTATGAATTCATATACATATATTAGATATACATATGTTAGAGAAAAAAAAAAACCTTAAGGATACATACATATTCAGACATATATAATAAATTGGGGGAATTAGTTGTAATTATAACGTTATCCTAGCACATTAAGAACTGACTTGCTTTGGCTGGTTCTGGAGAATACAAATTTAATGGTAAAAAAACGACTGTGATAATGAGTACAAGATGTATTAATAAATCATGTTTCGAACCTCTTACTTAGTTTGATATATTTATGAACTGCAGAAAATATAATCTCATTTGCTTCAATTGATTTGGATTCCGTTCCGAACAAGATGATCTCTAATGAAGGAGCTATAATATTTGATACTGTATTAAACAGAATACGTCTTATGTTATCAAATCTTTGACATTCATAAAAATAGTGGTAGGTTGACTCAATTTCACCACACTGACAAAGGGGCGATTGAACAATATTCTTTAAAAATAAATGTTGATTGAGAGAGCTGCAATTTCTCCGGAGTCGCGTGTGAAGTATTTGATATTTCCTGTCACCGTAATAGAATAAAGAATTACTTTTGCTACTTCCTTGATTTAGGAGAGACTTAAAGTTGTTTAATGAGTTTGCATTTCTTACATTGAGTGGTAACTCATTCCATTCTTTTAATGTTGAAGGAACAAAAGAATTAGCGTATAGAGAAGTTCTTGTAGGTATAATTTGGAGATTTGTTGAGTTACGAAGATTATACTGACTTGTTTCACCTACTGTATTAGGAACAAGATTACACAGATATTCAGGAGAAATCCCTTTTACCATCTTAAAGAATAAAATTAATTTATGTTTACAACGGCGCTCAGCAAGACTTTCCCAGCGTATTTCGTGATAGAGCTCCGATATGGAAACAAGTTTAGTGCATCCACTTACAATTCTTGCAGCATCATGCTGTATCTTTTCGAGTTCTTCCTTTTCATAGTTTGAACAGTTGTCCCAAACTACATCAGAATATTCTAAAACTGGTCGAATAAAAGCAAAATATATAACCTCCAATGATCTACGATCAAGCAAATACTTAAGACGTCTCATAACATTTATTCGTGACCAAGCCTTGTTTTTAATGTAAGAAATATGTTCATGCCAGGAAGCATCGTCTGAAAGAAAACAGCCCAGATGTTTGTGAGATTCAACCACAGGGATGCTTACATTAGACATAGACAATGGTGGATGGTGTGGTTTACTCATCTTTTTAGAAATTACCATTGACTCAGATTTATTAGGATTGAATTGCACAAGCCAATTGTTAGCCCAGGTTGATATCTTTTCAATATCCAATTGCATTTGAGTTGCTGTTTCTACTGGAGACTTAACAATCATATACAAACTTGTATCATCTGCAAAAAGAAAAAAAAAATGTTTTTATGATTAATTCACACTCGAATTAGGATTGTAAAGTCGTTAACATTTACACTACAAAACATTAAGGTTTGTGTAAGTAATGTTTAGTCACCATCAGTGAATTTGCGTAATCTTCAATTTCACGCTCATAGTATATATGTATGTGGCTGGTGATTACATTGTTCAAAAAATGACCTATCTAAGTCATACACCCTGATCAACAAAATGTTCAGCCAGACACAAGATAGAACAACGTTTTACTTATTTCTAGATTTCTAAGCGTTAAATGGTGTGTCCCTAAGTTATTTTGTGTAACAATTTTCAAGATAAGTTGAATATTATACTCAAGAATCGAGATATTAATCACATGATGCCATTTGTCATAAACGATAATGGGGTAAAATCTCATTAGTTATTTTATCTATTATTTATATTTTCTTAGATCATTGGCTAGCACCGTTGTCTATACAGACAATAGTATATGTTAACAGAAATATAATAATAACCTATTTTTGTGTCACCTGCTACAGAGTAGCGGCGACATATAGGGATCATTTCTCCGTCGCCTCTCCGTCTGTCTATCCATCCGTCACAAAACCTGTCCGGAATACTTCTCAAAAACTACTGGCAAAATTATCCTAATTGTACAGGAATGATAAATACAAAGTTTAGTTGTGAATGCCGCCCGATTGATTGGGTTTTCCGGTTGAATTATTTAAGTTAAGTTATGGTCCTTGAATAAAGTAATGTGCTTTGGTATGCTTATGAATTTTTGTTTAGTCAGATATAAAGAAGCTTATACATGCTACAAAAGTAGCCACGACTTATAGGGATCACTTCGTTGTGTCTATTTGTCTGTCTGTTACGAAACGTTTTTGGACAACTACTTAAAAACTACTGGTGCTATTTCATCCAAACTTTAGAGAAATGATCAGTACTATGTCTAGCTTTGCATATCATCGGTATTTTCCCAGTCAATAATTTATGTAAGCGTTATCACCATTGAAATTAAAATTTTTGTCCAGGTTACTTCTCTTATACTACTTATGCAATTCGAGTGGAACTTAACCTAAAGTTCGTGCGCCTATTTAACGAGTTTTCCAGTTACATGATATTTGGCCCTTCAATAAAAAACGTTTTGGCCTGTCAATAATGTGTGTGTTTCCTGCTACACAGTAGCTGCACTATGCAATATGCTATTATCAGACGACACATGTAGTCACTGATGGCTCTTGTATTGACTAACTGATTTATGCCCTTATAGGAAAAAGAGAGGGAAAGGAAGACATGTCACTATGATAATCCCCACAGACGCAAATGTGGAAAGTGACTATTATATGACTGAAAATGCGATGTACAATATGGGTAAGATTTGCACGAGACAACCAACCAATGAAAACGAACACCACAATGTTGACCATGATGCCGGAGCATATGCCGGTGTATCCCCAGGCCATTATGATTGTATCCAAGAATCAACTGACAGAAACCAAACTTCCGACATTGCACCAAGTCATGCTGTGTCAAACGAGTATTCAACGTGTCTAAAAGCAGGCCAAGTCACTGCTGGTGGCTTAAACAATAACACTTCAAATAATTATCAAAAGTACCAACCAAAAGTTTCAAGAATAAACGGGGAAGATGGCACAGTATATGACAGTACAAAGTCATCCCTTCCTCAGCAGGCAGTCGGAAATAATGATTATCATCATTTGGATTCTGTAGGTTTCAATCAAGTGAATCTAACATATGATAAAATTGGTAATACTGGTGTAGTTAAATATTAAACAATTTCAAATGAAGAATATGGATACAAGTATTAGCATTTCCAGAAATGCTTGGATTGCCAGTCAGCAATGAATATAGAAATGATTTCATTTCTTGCCTAATACCTTAAGTGTGGTCAACACATAAAGCCAACATTAATATTTGATTCACTCTACTAGTCTATTATAGTCAAAATATTTTGACGTGCTTAGGTAGTTTCTGAGATATTTTTGTCTTAGTTGCTACCTTCTGACGTCACATTTGGGTACATAGTAAATGAATTATGCGAGGTTTAACAGTTATCAATGTCAGTTGCAACAATACGCAGCAACAATACTATCACTTGCTTACAAAAACTGCTTTCAGTCTTCTAAAATAACGTGTAAAACGTGTTCACGTCGCATCTTTTTAAAATCACCTGTTGTTTATTGGGTGCAAAAGTAGAAAAATTAATGAAAATTACATAATTAAACACAATTCTGGTTTACCTTAAAGTAATGAGATAAAGATCTCTTTGCTAAATTCTGAAATAAATATTATCCAGAACAAACTGAAATCAAATTAAGGAGCAAAAATATTATATTCAAGAAACTTTAACATAGCATCAGACACATGTCACATATTCATTTGCTTTCTGTTGTGTGTCTCTTAAACCAGATGTACATTATCAGGGGAAACATTTAAGAAACAAAAATATCTTTGGTAGAAAATTTAAATATATAAATACATTCAATGATATGTATGTTATGCATTATATTTATCATTGTAAATCAAAAACAGAAAATGAATATTACTAGTCCACTATTCGAAGAAAACAGGGGGTGGGTGTATTGTCATGACCCACTCGTCGTTAATCTTAAGTTTTCAATTATAGCCATTAAGATCAATACTGATAATGCTATATAACATTGAAATTTCATTTGTTTATACAACTGTTTGAGTTTTTCCTGTCACATTAAAATACATTTACATGTATACTTGTACATATTTCATATTTAGTGACGTTTCATTGGGTCCGGAATAAAATACTTGAATGATTGGTGATGCCGGTGAGCGGCAACGTCTCTTTTGACCTATGGAAGGAGCTGTTATTATTAGCAGTTAATTTCAAGTGTTAATTAGTGTTATTTTGATTCGTTTAAATCAAGTAAGCAGTTTTGTTTTTATATTTGTATTTAATAACTTGATGTTAAAAGCATGTGCATTGTGATATTATTTTCATGAAATTGCAGGCTAAGTTTAACAGCTTGTCCCTTAGATTTAATAATGGCGATACAAAAAGCCGGATTTCGAATATCGTTGAGGTCTACATTGATGTCAATGGTATTTTTTCACCATTTTTGTTATTTATCTTAGATTTTTTTTTATTTTATAGTTTTTACCGTTTAATCATTTTTTTGTTAATTATGCATTGTATAGTGTTTCGTTTTATTTACTGTTATGCCAAACTTTTTTCGCCTGCAGGAGAGGTTCCAGGGAGCTTTATTTATATTTGTAAATTATATATATTATTAAAACTCGATCAAGAAGAAGGTTCACCTGAAAATGAGTATTAGGACTGGTAATGGAACAGTTGAAAACGATTATTCTATTGATTTTATCCATATTACGTTTATCAATTGCACAGAATGATTGTTTTTACAAAGTGTACCAGTATCCGGATATTGAAAGCTATCCGATATTTTGCAATGTAATTACTGCTGTCACATGACCATCTTACTTTTTATGAATGCTTTTTACCATTACTTTCCATTGCTTAATTAAACTCAGCCTGCAACATTTTATAATTTTGCTGTTTAGGGTGTTCTTATGGGTTTCAGGTTTTCTCTGTTTTAAGGGAAATTAACTCATGTTTACTAGGTATGACATACTATTCTTGTTGTATATAAACAGTATGGTTATTGGCAGTGTGCTTTACAGGCTATAAACTAACTTTCTTATTATATTTTTGTTGATAGATAGAATAATGAGAAAAATTACCAGTTGTATAACGTTTGTTCATCAGAAGCATAGAGGCCCCAAGGTGTGAATATTGATATATTCATTATATCATATATATACATTAGACTGGATTCTTCTAGTCTGTTCAATTAGTATATACCTACAGGTATTCTACTACAGGAATCTTCTAATTACTATGTGAAACTATGTGAAACAAATTTTTATTTTCTATCTGTTTATATTTTATTTGTTAATAAAATAACCTTTGGTAAAAATGAAAGGTAAAAAATTTAAAAAATGCATACACGTGCTCATGTCCATATATTGAAACAGAGAAAGGATAACATCCCGAAGTTATCAATTTTAAACTCTTAATATATAATTATGCAATTAGTTGTTATATAGTAAAGTCTAACGGAAGGTGAAAAGAGGGACAATATTTGTTACTGTAAGAGATATTCATGCTTAGACACAACTCAATCTTTATTAAAAGATATACTGTAGATTATTTGAGATTTCTTTTAGTTTTATACTATACATTATAGTTTTCTTTCTACTAGATTTTGAATTCCATCATATCATCCAAGTAACAATGTTAATAGGATTTCATATTTATTTGTTATAATAATAGAAATTGGGATTATTAATGTTATGTGCATACATGTATACCTTAGTATATGGATATGATGAGACTTATAATATTTCTGTATTTAAAGAGTAAGAGTTATGACATTGTTATTAAAGGGATGAGACTTACATTAACATCTATAAATGATAATACATGTATTGATCAGTCTAAAGGTTATAGGTTTATACCCAGTGTTAGTCCGCTGATAATAGTATCTTTAATAGAGTTAAAGGAATATTGTATTGGGTGACGTAGCCTGGATTTTGTGGTTATTTTTCTGAACTTGTGAGATTTGGCAGGTTACATAATAAAGTATCCAGAAATGAGGTTAAATTAGTGTCCATTACTAGTGATGAAAGGGTCTATGGTGCAATTTCACCGGACGATGCATGGCAATATAGATATATATTCCACACTCTCTGTGCTAGTAGGTCAGTACTGGTCCTTTAAGGGAATAAAATGTCCTTTAACTTGGATCATGCAATATAATTTATAAAGTCTCAAAATATCATATTCTGAATTGTTATTTTATTTTTGTCTAACATGTGCATAGTTTGAAAAGGACAGCTCCTGTCTTATCTTTTTGTAATGGAGGGACACCGGTCTCAACCTCCAGGTCTTGGGCTGAGTCAACCGGACTACAGATTTTTCATAAAGTAGATTGTTGCTTGCACTTGAATAAATTTTTGCACTAAATTTTATTGTGGGTGATTCGTGCCACATGAACAAAAGTAACCGGGGCAAAAGAAAACATGAAATTATCACAAGGTGGTTCATTTATTATTTTTTAATGTTTACGCCATGAAAAATACAACATAGCACAAATCAGCCTCAATAAAAGTTCTTAACTAGAAAAAAGTAAGTTTTTTATCTGTACAAAGAATCAAATATTGTACAAGTATTAGTACAGTTATGTCCACTTTTAAATTGATATGATATAAATAATGGCATAGCCAATAACTGTGTAAGCCCTTTTTAGTAAAAATAATTATACAATATATAAATTGTTATTTTAATTAAGACTATGAGTATGTAAGTTTTATTTCATGCTTTCCAGTGTTTTATTGTAATATATCAGATGATTATATTCTGATAAACCACTAGTGAAATTTATAAAATATAATTTTCACTGTAGCCGGACTATATCTGAATGCGGATGAACAGAAACTCATAACTAAATGGAATAACAGGCAGAAATAAATGCCGTCATACGTAAATTTTGCTTCTTTAGGAAAAGAAAGTCAATGTCATCATAGATCATGTTAGAAATTTAACAAAATTAGAGAAATTCAACGGAACTAGATTTCAAAAGTGATGATGTGACGTCATGATATATATGACGTCACAAAGGAGAATGCGTGACGTTACGCGGCAAAATCAGTAAAAAATTACTTAAAATCGCTGAAAAGCATAAAATAAAAAGAAAATTTATTTGTTTTACATATAAGATTGAAATATATTTCATTCGTGAACACCAGCTATTATATTTTCACTCGTGGCTACGCCACTCGTGAAAATATTGCATCTGGTGTTCACTCAGTGAAATTATATTTCAATCTTACATGCAAAACAAACAAATATCCTCTATTTATTTCTTTTTCTTATTTGTATTAATTAAGAATTAATCTACCTGATAATTAAAATATCTAAATGTATATGTCACGGTTTAGAACTGTTCACTATTAAGGGGAGAAAAATGTGTAAGCAGTCAGATAGCTCAATCGCTACAGTTGGCTACATTATTCTGTGGGTCACAGGTTTGAGTTTTGGTCAAGCTGCGCGTTTTTCTTAATCTGTGACTGCATTTAACCCATAGTTTAATTCACTATGTCTTGTGAACATAAGAAATTTGAGTACAAAAATCTATATATAGTGTGGAAATATGTTATGGTTTAGAACTGTTAATTATTAAAGAGAGTGTTATTAAAGATAGCTCAGTTGGTCTTCTGACAGTCATGGGTTCAAGTAATGGTCAGCCAAGTTCAGTCAGGGTTTAAATGTGTTTTTTCAACTAATACATGTTTGATTCATTTAACAGATTGTATTAAATTTGAAATGGACAAAGGCAGTATTGTATTTATGATACTTTTAGATCTACAAAAGGCATTTGATACAGTTGATCACACTATACTGCACACGAAACTTCAAGCAATGACATTCTTACATGGTTCAAGTCTTATCTCTGATAGATAGCAGCTGGTGGATGCGGCTAGTAGTCATTCTACTACTGCTCCGAGTACCTATGGTGTCCCCAGGGGTTCATTTTAGGTCCTCTTTTATGTATAATATATATGTCAATGACATGTCTGCAACCCTAAGCAATAAGCTTTTATGATATGGTGATGACTAAGGTATCCTTGTATCTGGTAAAATAAATCTGAAGAAATTCTCTCTTATGGTATGAGTCTTATAAGTGATTGGTTAATTGACTATAAATTGTCTTTGTATCTTGGCAAGACAGAATCTATTCTTTTGGGTTCAAGTTTCAACTTAAACAGGGTCCTAGCCTCCAGGTCCATGTTATGGTACTGATATAAAGTACACATCTTCTGTTAAGTATTTAGGTGCAAGTCTTGATTAAATATATTTTGGCGTCGCCTTTGCTGCTTTATATCAATGCTTTTCTTGTAATAAACTGTTATTGCTTTTAAAATATGGTTATTGTCAATGATATTTTTTTGTATATAAATGTCATGTTTAATTGTAATTGAATACGTTATGAAATAAGATCTTTAAATGTAATACAAACAGAAAATATAAGTGAACACTTAAAAGAATATAGAAATAATAAAATTGTGACAATATAATTCTTTACACTCGTACGTTCGGTTAAGGAATATTTAGGACATATTATAATATTATATTATTATTGTTATATCTACCCCGTTATAACATCAAACAAGGAATTACGAACCTAATAAAGTATTTAAAAATTGATTTCATAATAGGCAACTTCATTCTCTTGTGTTCAAGTAAAAAATCATATTTTTTTGTGTTTCATAATAGATTGTTTAGTAAAACATTCTATTTTACATGCTTTGGAAACTGTTTTTAAACAGCATGATGTTTACAATTTCAACAGAAAAAGACTTTGAAATCCTGCTACTAATGCTTGGTAGCCGTAGAAGGTCAAGCTGAGCAATGATCTAGATTTATTTTTTAAGTGTTAAAAACTGGATAAGAACAAAGAATTTCAAAAAAACAGCAGCATACTTCATATACTTAGATAGATAGATAGATTTATTTCGGCATAGGAAGCATATACATAGTTGACAACATAGCGTAGGATAAAATAATGAGCATTATTAAATACTATATCACATACGAGAAAACTACGACATGCTAACCAAAACCAAGGATAACACAAAAAAGGACAAAAAAGCTCTTATTTCCATTGTGGTCCTTTGTATTGGCGGCATGACATAGAGAGGCAGACCTAAATATAATCATGTTTAAAAATACTAATAGATTATAAAAATGTATATCACAGTCAAATCTTGAGTTAATGATACTCCTAGAGCTAGGATTTAAAACACATTACTAAAATTGTAAAAAGATAATTAGCAGACAATTTAAAATCCTGAGCCGAAATATGTAAAAACATAGTAAAAAATTAAATACTGTTCATAAGATGACTTTTGATGGCAACCTTAAAACTTTGTAACCTGTTGATCTCCGTTAACTCTACAGGTAAATCATTCCATAATTTAATACCAGAGAAAGCAAAGGATTTAGAACCCTGACCTTTGACCTTAGGTAGACAATACCCACCCTTTTGACTAAGTCTTGTACTATAATTATGTACGGAATCTTGCGAAATAAAGTGTTCAGACATGTAATCCGGAGACAGGCCATTTTTATCTTAAAAACATGACACAACATTATCTGTTCAACTCGTCTGTGGACCGGTAACCAGTTAAGGGACTTAAAGTGGGATGGGTCAATATGGGCTCTGGAATCCAAGTCAAGTACAAGTCTCATTATCTTATTTTGACAAGTTTGTAACTTATTTTTTAAAAGACTGTGTCAAGCTATTATACCAAACAGAGCATACGTAATCATAGTGACACTGAATAAGAGACATAACCAGAAGTTTCTTGGTATGCTGAGTAAGAAACTCTTTCTTGCGGTAAAGAAATTTTAACCGAGAGTTGGCCTTCTTAAGAACAGACTCGGCCATGAAGCAAAATGACAGATTTTGGTCTATAATAATCCCAAGATACTTGATAGATGAAGTTGATTCAATGGATGTACCAGAACAGGTTATATGCAGGTTAGATTGTGACCTAAGCTTTTGCCTGGACCCAAATAAAATTGACACGGTTTTACCCAAGTGCAATGCCAACTTATTGTCAACTAACCATTGGCTGACCAATTCCATATCATCTGTCAATGCCTTTTCAACAACAGATAAACTTTTACCAGATACAAGGATACCAGAATCATCAGCATACAAAAGCAATTTATTTTTGACCACAGCTGACATATCATTTACATAAATTAAAAAGAGAAGGGGTCCAAGCAATTATAAAAGCATATCAGTATACTAAGCAGTTAAAAGTGAAAACAATACCGAAATAGACTTACTGGCAGGTCTTAACAAAAAGAATGAGATCTGTTAGTCTAAATAATAAAAGCATGCAAATCTGATTATGAGGTGATAGTCATTTTGGTGTAAAGACTGACAGTTTTGTACATCTTCGTTGAGAAGCTTATTGTTGCCACGGCGAGCCGGCATTACGTTAGGATTTTACTACGAAACAATAGAAAACAAACAAAACTACAAATCCATCCAAATTTAACCGAAGCTTGGCTTCCAGCTTTTTAAATGATTCACCTGTCTAAGCTGGACTCCAAAATTTATTTGGCCAATACAATTTAATCTTACATAGCGGCTAAAAAACTTCAATTTAAACGCCATCTTTAAAGAACAGCAAGTTTGCTTTACGAGCAAAGATATGATGATTATATTTTAACAGAGTTGCGCCCCTTTTAATCTCCAGATTTCCAGACGATAACTCTTGAATGAGTTAAAAGATAGTAATAATTCTTGGTACACATATGTTACATCATAAAATACAGAGGTCATATTCGAAATTGGGTGTAGACTACTAAATATTTACAGAGTAATGACCTGTTTAATCTTCAAGTTTTCGAGAAAATTAATTCCAGATGATAACTCCTATAGAAATGATAACTCCTAAAGTAGTCATAGAATTGTTATTGTTTTTAATAAAAAGATGTTATATAAAAATACCAGTCAAATTCAAATTTGCGATCAAACCACTATTTTTTTTACAAAGTTTGTCCCCTTTTCATCCTCAATTTTGCACAAAATAATGTTTTTAGATGATATTTCTTAAAGGAGTCAAATCATTGAAATTATTTTTGGTAGTTTATTAAAACATCATTAAATACATGTCAATATCAAATATGGATTAACGCCCTCTAAATTTCTACATAGTTATGGCCCATTTTTAACTTCAATTAAACAAACAAAAATGTTGCTTTCACTTGATTACTCTTCATATAAACAATGGATTGAAATTATTTTGGAACACAAAATTTAATGTATCATGTTTAAGTACAGGCGGTGTTTGAATTTGAGTTCAGACCACTAAATGATTTACATAGTTTTTGCTACTTTTCATCTTTAACTTTGCAAAGAAAAAGTTTGCACATGAGTTTTCTTTAGAAGTCACCTGATTACAAATAGTTTTCAGAACACGACTGAAACAAATGAAATACAGGTTGAATTTCAATTTGGATTCAAACCACTTTATATTAACATAGATGATATAATCTGTTAAATACCAAATGATAACCTTTAAGGAGTCAAAACTTACACTTATGTAACATCGTTTAATACAAGTTGAGTTCAAGTTAAGGCACAGACCACTAAATGTTTAGATAATTTTGGGTTATTTTCATTTACCAATTTCAAACTTGTTTTGATAATTTAAGATCTTTGTTAATACAATTATCTGTACAATGTTGTTTTATTTTTCTTTAAATAATATCTCCTATAACCAAACTTTACAGGAATGATCCTTCGGTAGTCCCCTGTCAAAGTTGTTTAAATGGCTCCGGTCTGTTGCATATGCAAATTGAGGGAAACTAGACTCATATAGGAAACACACATGTAAGCCCTACTTTCTCAAACTAAATTGGCTAAAACTTAAACATTTGGCATGTATTTATTGCCTTGAGGACCACTACAAAATGTAAATGTATCTAAAGTGAAAGGACATATCGAGGATTGACGGCAAAACTGCAGTATCTTATATGAAATTAAGAAGGACTTACAACATTTTTCGATCAATCCCCGATAAACATAGGTACGATAATGTGGATGCATCTTGATAATATATATATCTAGTCCTCAGTTGACCGCTTTGGGCCAATTGCCGCTTTGTTATAAATGGAATATTACTCTTTATTAATGTCATCATTATCCAGGTTGTTGTTAATCTGAGAGAACTGTCAATTTGACATTTAAACACTCTGCAGAAAATAGAAATGACAAAACGAGTCGTTTCTAGCTTTTTGAAAAACTACTCTTGTTTAACATACATTTGTAATACTGTCAGTCCAGTTTATCACTTGCTTTACATTTGAATTAGTAATATACTCTATAGAATGATCCATCTCCAAACCAAAATGACATGTTTTTGTATAATAAATATTAATCTTAATTTTGTTAGAAGAAGCTAGCGGATAAAATGAGGTTGGGCACTTTAAGGCCCTAAAGTATGCCTAATGACCAAGGTAAATAAATCCTTGTTCTATTTGAGCCAACTTCACAAACAGTTGGACCAGCTAAAGTCATTCGTCTTTCTGCATAATCCCATATGATACAGATTGTTTAGAATATAGAACGATACTTTGTCACAAACTTAGTAAATACAATCATATGAGGTGACCTTAATTATCTGTAAAGAATTATTGAAAAGGCAAAACAAAAGCAAATAATCTGTTCTATATCATATCTATAATCTTACTATACATTATATTGTAATCTTCATCTCACCGGTTTGAGGTATTTTCATGAATATTCAAAATAAAAAAAAAAGGAACCACAATTATTTGGCTACAAATTCATTCAAAATTGGTCTGTGAAAAAATAATCTTTCATATCGGCTATGCTTACCGAATATATGTGTCAGGTACCAGTGTTTTGCATTTAAGCATCTTTTTAAGCCGTGCATAGATCATGTATCAGTATTCAACATAATTTGCCGACCAATGAAATCAATCAAATTTTTAAACAATGCTCTTCTTAATCGAGTAGGTCATCTAATGCTGTCATTTATTTTTAAGGCGAGTACTCATTCTATTAAGAGTTTGGAATGAGGTACTCATGTGTGATCTTAATAAACAAGCCTCGCCTTATTTTGACCACGTGACATGGGTAAAATTATAAGCAAGAGTACACGATGTAAATAATGTGCACCCTGGCTCCCTACCGGACACTTCCTTTGGGGCTCTTAATTGTTAAAGTTTCAATTAACACACATTAGCATATACATAATGTACTCGACTACCCTGTCTTCTTTAAAACAAAATATTTCAACAATTATCATTTATTGTATAATTGAATGTTAAATTGTACCATAGACAGGAAAACTATTGTCAAAATCAAGAATATTATTTTATTCATCATTAAATGTTTAGTTTGACTTTACTAAATTAACTACCAAACAATATGAGAAATTCAAATGCCATACTTCTAAGATTCATAGCTTGTGTCTTCGTTTATATAAGTGATAATACCGGTATTATCCTTGTTAAAGAAGTCTCAAGTAACACATCATTTTAGTTGATTTTTTAAGTTGAATGATACGCATGAATTGTCTGTAAAGAAATACAGATCATGTACTTTTAAAATGTGTATGGTTCATAATGCCTGTGAAATAAATGTTTCTTTGAACAACGGCAATGTCATATTTAATCAACTTGAAAATAAATTAAATAATGTTAAACATATATAAACATATATAAATAACTTATAACATTCTTGAATGAATTTTTACCCATTTATTACCGTTGTACGATAGTTACAACTTATGGCCGAATGTCGCCGAATGTTTTGTATACCTCGTATCTCTCTTTTCATATATACTGTTGGGAAACCACAATTAATGTATATAAATTAGTATGCTTATAAATCAATTTTGCCCTTATAATTATTAACCTTTTACCCCATGAGCATATTGTAAAAAATGGCCGTTTTCATTGAAAAGCCTCCTGTTACAAGTTCAAACTGCTATAAAGCTATGAAAAATACTTCAATACTGATGAAAATTGGCACATAAGTTAACTGAACCATAACCTCTGTAACAACATGCTCAATCTTAAATTTCCTGTTACCATGACAAGGGGGGGGGGGGGCACGTATCAAAATTGCGAAAAATCAATATTTTGCATTGTTTCTTTTCCATCAAAACTGATTTCAAAGTGCTGCAACTCCTCAATGCAATGAGATATAGTAATATAGTAAAAGGCTTTTCAGCGTCGGTTTCACGTCACCATAAGATCGACCTGAGGCCATCTTTAGCCTGTCACGTGTCCAAAATTTTCTTAATTTTCTTGGCGATGAGGGGGACTACCGCTCCCCTTCAAACCCCCAAAACAGAAGGGGGCACATCACCCTTCTGGCAACCCCCTGAAGTATCATTTTGAGGGGGGGGGGGCCGCGCCGAAAAAAAACAACACTTTTTTAACAACATTTCTCAAACGAGAAACAGTGTTTTGGGGCCTAAATAGGGCATTTTCTTACTGTTTGAGGCCTCAAAAATGGGGGGGGGGGTAAAAAGCCGTCAAAACACGCTTATCAAAGGGAAAAGGTTAACACCTCAATATATTAAAAGTAACTAATCAGTGATTTTAGCCTCTAATAAAATATTTTCAGTCATTTCCCAACCATGAATGATTTCGTGCTTTAAGCCAAAACAGGTTTCCTCGGCCTTTCTTAAGTTATATGGATAGCTTCTTCGTTTCTACACATAAAAGATTTCGAAGTCCTCTGAATCAAATCTACTGTGGTAAGAGGTTAGTTTATCGTTTAAAGAAAACAAAAATCCCTTAGATATATCAATTAATTTCTTTATTTTGAACACTGTGCATGTTAAAGGACAACGACTTTACAAGTAATCAATGCGATGAAAATAAAATTATTTTTGTTTTTACTTTTTGGTACTTGTAGCATACTTATAATATCATTTTCTCAATTTCCATCGTCTGCTGAAGTGATATTTAACTCAAAAATATAGCATCAGGATCGTACCAGGTACTACTTGTAAGCCCTCAGTATTCGTCCATGTAAAACGTACTCATTGGAATCTTCTTCTCTGAAACCATGAAGACTAGAGCTGAGATATGTCTGCTAAATACTATGATTGTTCAAATTACTGTGGTCACGAAGGCATCACCCCAAAGAGTCATTACACTGTACACAAGTTGTTCATTTTATGTCATTTGGATAAAAAAAATGGACCAGCCGCCCAGGGGGACCTTATTGTTACAATTGACCAGATTCATGTTTGAACACTGTTTCATTATTCAATTTTCCAATTTAAACCTAGAAAATCGCAACATGACAGTGTCGGTGTGACTTATAACCAGACAATTTAAATAATTTAAAACAGACGCGTGTATTCTTTATAAGTACAGGAAGAAAAATAAATAATACAATAATTATAAGTTTCGTATAAAAATATATTCAATCAAACGAAACTAAGCATCAGGAAATGAACGTGAGCATCGTTATCCTCTTGCAATGTTTCAAGTACTGTACATTGTTTTTTTATACAAGTATACATTTTATTTAAAAAATAAATATCGACTGTTTGCATATGATCTTCAAAGTTAGCTGTAGTCTATAGTAGAAATGGATTTGATCTACATATTGATTTGCTTCCTTGTATGGTTTATTCTAGGTAAGTTTAAAAAGATCTTTTGTTCTTTTAATTGAATTATTCGAATGCCTTTAAAGATAATTTGAAATATTGTTTCAGATTTTGAACATGAATTTATTATGATCAAGGTCATGTGAAACATGTTTACGTGTCATTTTAAATGTATTAAAATTGCCTCTTTACATTTTTGTATTAAATTATATTTAGAGACATTCCTTACTTTTTGTAAGATTTTATTTTTAAGACAATATTGTCATGATCAATTTTATAAGAGGGGCAATCACACTCTCTTCATGTTAAACCTGCATTGTTATACTTGCGTTTAGTAAATGTTATATTTCTTACTTTAATAACACCAATTTAACAATAAACCCTGTCATATCCAATTTAAACTTAAACATTGAACAAAGGTCAATATTGTAACCGTTTGATGCGATCTTGATAAAGATGTAAATGACGTACCAAAAGTATAAATTTCCAAGTATTCAATTGTGTACGTATCTGCTAGATATAAAGATGTGACATTATGTACGGTTTCAAAGAGTATGTTTAATTGTATGATTATAATATGTTTTGCATTATTAAAACAGTAGCGAGAGAAATTGAAACAAAACGTGATAAGTATGCAATCAGTTGTCAAAATGATACATTAAATATTCGTTGCAAATTGTCTCCACCCTGCCTTTTTATTGCGTTATGTTTAAAAGGAGCTTTATTGACAGAAATTGTCGTTTTAACGCAATACTTCCACGTTATTGCCTGTGTTACTTTTTAGTATTTACTTATAATAGAAGATATTCATAGCTAAACTTTTTTGTAAGATTTTATTGTTTCAGACAATCATACTTCCGTCACGTTAAAGCAGCACGCCTCCAGATTCATTCTAATTTTCATGAACATTTTAAAAATGTATCTAAATGTTTAATAATGTGAAGAATCCAAAAGGAAGCTATTTACATATTTTCAATGGCACTTACAACCCCTGTTTATTACCAAACAAGTGGTAAAAATGTGCATAAATAACCCTTACTGCGTTAGTAATGCAGTAGAAATATAGTTGTTAATACTGTAAATCAATCAGTCATTAATCGCACAGAACATGTAAAATATTACTTGACTCTTGAATCCTTTTACTTTCCTCAAATTTCAGTAAATATTTCTTTGATTTTGATTTTATTGACCGATCTGGAGGCATGTAGTTTTAAATTTGCATGTAAAAACTGGTTTCAGTATAATTCAAGGACATAAATGAGAACGTATACGTGAAACTGATATAAATGAAGTGCCTCTTTGACTTTGTGCCTTCTTGAAACTTTAGGGAAATAAATTGTATAGTATGTACTAAAATTAGAAACTTCCAAGTATTTAATTGTGTATCTGCATCAACAAATTACGCATCTAATGCTGTGATCTAATGCGTATGCCATGAAATACACGTATAAATATTGAGTACACGAGCTCAAGGAAGTTTCATTAAGCGAACCCCTGTTAAGCTTTCGAACATTAAATTTTATTTATATGACAACGAATTTTTGATATTTTTATTACATTAGTAAACACACCGGAATTAATGAAACTGACTTTAAATGCATGCTTTTCTTAATGACACGGATACAAAACAGAGTAAACAAGTGACGTCATGTGTCTCTGTGTGTGATTGAAATATATTTGTATTTCGAAGAGTGAGCATTTTTCTCACGACTAGTTTCCTGTTCAATTTAATTGCTTCTTGTAACCCCAAGTATTGACATTAGCTTAAGTAGTCATTTTCTAATGTGCTGGACAATTCTAACACGACCCGCATTTTCCCTATTGAACATAGAAGAACCGAAAGTGTGTGTTATTATGCCATAACAGCACAGTTTGACATTCTATATTTAGACATGTGACGTAATCATTATACACGTGACGTAACCACTAAAAATGTGACGCGCTGACAAAAAGTACGGAAACAAATCAGGCGCAATTTAGCTAACTATCAGGTACGGCAGCATTTATCTGTTGATGTCGTGTTAGAATCGAAATAATATATCCAAAATGGTGATTTTATTGCTTGATAAAATCACTGTTTGTCGTTCGGATGCGCATCATTATATCACTCGGGCTACGCCCTCGTGATGTAATTCCTCGCATCCGAACTCCAAACGTTGATTTATTGAGCAAAAAAATCACAGTTTTGGATATATTATTTCTTAAGAAAACAGACATATATCAGGAATAAAAAGAAAAATATGGTTTGAAAAAAAAACGAATTTTTTTTTGTTTAGAAATCCTTATAAATAGTACTCATATAAACTAATGAATTTACTATGTACTAAAATGTTCAAACAAAAATAACTTTTGCGCCGAGACTGATGTTTAAAAGTTCATTAAAGTTAATGAATTGTAGGAGATGACATAAACGTTGACAGCATTACACTGGAGAACACCATTCAGTCAAACAAGACGTTCACATCACTAGGGAGTCAATCAACTTTAAACCTAAACAAATCTACACACTTCGTTTCTGTCGACACACAGAACAGTATAGGTATGCTATCAGGTGTCAAAACGACACATAAAATATTGTTTCAATGTTTTTTTTCAATTGTGTTAATAAAACATGACAAAGTTGTTTTTTTCCTGTGTCTTGAGTAGTTAAGCCCTTAATTTGTAGAGGAAATAAGCGGCTACTACGATTGCGTATTGCAGACAAAATGCAGTTTACAAAGTTGTTGAAATTCGTTTAAGATTTGAAATGTTATGAGCATGAACTTTGAAATCGAAAAAACATATTTAGGACTCTATATATAAACACCAGTTTAGTAAATAAATACTTTCATCCGGTGCACTATAAAAGATAAAGATTTACGAAACTTTTATTTTTCAGAATCATTTAACCAACCTTTTTGCAATGCCACAGAACAACTTAGTAAGTATAATAATTATGGATGTTTCTAACATAATATATAATTGTACAAGTGTAAAATCCAGTCTGTCTATCGAACACATCAACAACATTGAAATTCTAGACTTAATTCAGAAATAACTATGGGTGAATATAAAAGTGCATGAAGGTTCTGAAAAAATGGGAAATCGGTTGGCACTGACAATGTCCTGATTTGCATACATCAAATCTAATAGTCATGAATCATTACCTACATATGTTAGCCGTGGAAACTTGTTCACTTGCCTTTGAATGGACAGAAACTCCCAATGTATAACAAAGAGGAGGTCCTCAGACACCTGTTTAATAAAGACCAATAATTATTATCAGATGTGTTACCAACTTTACTTATTCTTAGATTTCACCAAGCTGGCTAAGGAAAATTGTCTGCCTCTTTTTCTGCATTTTAAAAATATGTACACGTACATTAAATAAGGTGTCTCTCAAATGGCGAATACTTTCCGTTCTAATAAATGTCACACATTAAATGGAACATAAATTTCCACTATTTAAATTAGGGACCTAAAACAAAATATGCGGGTACATCTAAAAAATATGTATATTGCTCAAGAATCGTGACTCTCTTTTGAAAACGGTTGAAGTTATAGCTATTTTTTCATACTTAAATTTTCCGGCGCATAACTTAAGAAAAATGGAACTTCGATAATGGATTGGTCTTATTAAAAGATAGCGAAGTGGAAGTGCAAATGTGCATTGCACAAGAGCAATGATTCACTTTTGCATAATTTAATTTTGAAGTTATTGTCCTCTGTAATTTTTATTGTGGCTTTTATGTGGCTATTTTCTTTTGTGTGACTAATCAGAGCAATAGAGAGAATAATAAAGTAGCCACATAGCAACTGTCCCGTTAGAACGTCCGTCCGTCCGTCACACTTTCGTGTCCGGTCCATAACTTTGTCATTTATCAAAGGAATTTGAAATAACTTGGCACAAATATTTGTTATAATAAGACGATGTGTCATGCGCAACAACCAGACCCCTACATCCATGGTCAAGGTCGCACTAGCTCATTCAAGGTCAGCATGTTCTATTTGAGGGTAAATGTCGTGTCCGGTCCATAACTTTCTTATCTTGAAGGAATTAAATACTTGCCACAATTGTTCACAATAATGAGACGATGTGTCATGTGCAACAACCGGTCACCTACCTTCAAGGTCAAGGTCACATTTGAGGTCAAAGATAAACAAAGTTTGTTACAGGGTATATTTTGTGTCCGGTCAATAACTTTTTCAAAGATCAAATGATTTTAAAAATACTTGCCACAAAAAGCACTATAATAAGACAATGTGTCATGCGCAACACATGCATCCCTTCCTCCAAGATCAAGGTCACACTAAGAAGTCAAAGCTTGACATGATAGATTTTTAAATTCCGTGTTTCGTTTTCTTTCGTAAAAAAATTATTGCTGCATTTGCAGATCTAGCATTTATCATTATTTTGGACTGAAAGTCTTGGGATCCATACCTCAATATTTTGAAATAGCACAATTTTATGCTTCATATAAAACTTCTCGAGGCGGGGGACGTTGATAACTCTGTAACAAATTCTTGTTCATGATATTTTAATGGGGATTAATTAAAAAAAGTAAAACCGGGTATTCACTTGAAACTGTATGTATTTCCAAAAACATAGGATAATTAAATGTCTGACTTGTTTTAATGAAATGGATAATTTGAGCATAAAGATGCTATTATCATACTTGAATCCCAAAAATGTATCTGTTATTTAAATATATTTAAAATGAATGACCCAATGACATTAAATAATGGCAAAATAGTGTATTAATGTCATTTTATTTTTAAAGGATTATCTTTTATGTGTCACTGTACATTTTTGGCATTTATATTATAATAATGCTCTGGGTACATAATTCTATGGAGCTCCAATCAAGTGAATTGTATTAATCGACAGGGTATATCCATTCAAAGAATTTGTTTAATTTAACATGGCTTTAAAACTAAATGAAGGCAGCAACACGAAAAAACACATTTACCATACGGCCCTACATGTCATTAAAATACATATACATGATAACTGAAATTATCATTGTAAATCTTTATTTTTTTACAAATAT